AATGTCTTTTCTCTTATGCCTATAACGATAATCCTAGATCAAATTTGCACTTCTCCTTGATGGATAAATGTCAGAAAGAACAAATATCTCTTCATCAGCTTGTCCACTTGTGAAGGAAGGGAGTTTTAAAGGAAAGCTGTAGTCAAAGCTGCTGCAAACCAAAGCACAATTCACTGCCAGTTTAGATACAAAGCTAAAGTTATTGACAGAAGTTTAAAAACTACTGAGTTGGGAACTGTTCAACCTCTATTCAGCCCCACACTATTCCGTGGTGTACACAACAGGGCTTTTAAATTAGGTGCCATGGCCATTGTTGTACAGCATTAGTTATAAAAATCATTGCAGTTTTGTTCACTGGTCACTGCTAATGCCATCGAATAGTTGCAGTAGTTTGGATCATTAAGGATTATATTTGAGGATGTTTTAATGGCATCACTTTGTTACTATATCATCTCTTTCAATTCCATTACTCAGCAAGAAGTCATCAAAATAACAATACATGGGTTTTGCTGGAGGAATATGATAATCCTCCCTCCCTGCCTTCTTTCTCAGTTACCCTCTTCCTCATCCTATAAATTTTGACCTGTTTGGGTTTTTATCCACCTTTATATATTTGGTTTGCCCTGCTAATGTTCATGTCTTCACCTACATGGTTAACCTGTCTTAGCTTCAGGTGGGAGGTGTTATTGCACAGCATGGGTGAAAGGAGAGAAGACACACAGCTCTGATCTATCAGTTCTTGGCTGTTGAGTGCAGCCTCTGCTTTTCAAATTCTCCTCTAGGAAAGCTGAGATTGTTTGAGGGGCAATCCTCTTCGTGATATTGCGATCTATCAGTTCTTGGCTGTTGAGTGCAGCCTCTGCTTTTCAAATTCTCTGGGAAAGTTGAGATTGTTTGAGGGGCAAGCCTCTTTGTGATATTGTTTCTACATTTGCTGTCCTACCTCTGGATCTCAACATCTCCATTTTATTCTTCTGTAAAACATCTTTGAAATATGTTGGTTGTTCTTACCAGAAGCACCCAGATTTAGGCTGATAGTGTTATCCATAGATTTGACAGAGGGAAATCAGCTGACAGAAGCCTGTAAGACTTTCCAGTTCACTAAATGACTCAAAATCCATTTAGAGAAGACAAAAAAAAATGTTTTGACCAAAGTTTTATTAATATGTGGTGATCATCTGAATGTGAAATGAGCAAACAGGAAGGGCAGGGAAAGTCATGCTATGAGAAAAGGCCTTCAGCAGCATTTTATACAAATGAACATAGACATTACTAAAAGGAAGGCAATGGGTCTTGGTTCCCAGAGTGGAATGGAAAAACTGCCTTAAACCCCCTTGTGGGAAGCAGAGAGTTAAGGTTGCTGTTGTGTGTAATATTTCAAATAATGAAGTCATTAATGCAATCAATCCCAAATTCTGTATTGGTATCTTTAACAGATGCCTAGTTTTATTTAATATTTTTTGGAGAAAGGACAAGTATACTGAAGAAAGAAGACTGTTGCCCCAGAACTCATTCATTCCTGTTGTAGAAAAAAAAGAAATTATTTCCTTTCAGAAGATTTGATCTATGCAGTAACATGGTCACACATTTATTTTGTCACTTGGATTAAGTTTCTACAACAGGGCTATGTTCATAAGGATGTAAGTTCCTGGCATGTTTCCAGTTATCAATACTGAAATATTAGTGATCAAGCATTTACTGAACGCCATTCCTCAAATGCAGGGGCTTCACAGCATCTTGTTGCATTCATGGAATTCATTTGTTTGCATTATCTGGCTAACTGGTTCTTTTGTATTGCCAAGGTGATGAACAGATTTGACATTTAGCTGATTACTTTACCAAAATTAAACAGAAAACAGGGCAGCCATCCAAAGTTCCTTTCAGTGTGAAACCTAATTATAAAAATGCTTTGAGCAGCAATTTCTTTTTGGATGTTAAAGTGCTTTTATTAGATTGTTCCCCTGTCATTTTAAAATTTATTGCTAGACACTTATAAATGGGGTTGCCTGCTGAAGTGGAATTATTTTATTTTCTATATTTAAGATGGGAGGAAAAAGCGTATGGAGAAAATTTTAGGCTGAATTTGTTAATATTTCATGTTTCTGAAAGGAAGGAGAATAATAGTGTGAATAGTGCTGGCTTTCATACACCCAAAATATGTAATTTATCTCTGTGTTGAATAAAATTGTATCTGCTTTTTTTTTGTTCACAATTCAGAAACTCCCAATTTCCAAAAACTATCACTTAGCAAATAATGAAATCAAATATGTGATTTAAAATTTGAGTACAGCAGTAGAAGCTTGTATCATTAATGTAGATTTACACAATTACTGGTGATAGAAAAATCTAACCATGTACTTGTACCTGTCTTTCATAAGCCATTACCTGCTCTCAAACAGCATAAAAGTACTCTTAAGTCATTTGTCAAGGACATTGAATATAAGTAGGCCAAGTGAATTTTAACCAGTAAATTTAGAGCTGAAGACTGAAGTGGATCTTAGAAGAACTTTCTTGTGAAGTATTTTTTTAATGTCTTGGAATATGTTTAACTTTTTATACTGCCTGTTGTTATTAACATCCTTTGGACCCCAGACAAGGTGTGATCTGGGGAGATTTCAAGGTGACAAAATTGTGGGGTTTTGCATATGATATTGTCTAGCACACTTTGGGTACTAAATCATCTTGTGAGGACATAGATTAATTCTTGACACTGAGATCTATTAATATACCTTGAAGCCCAGTGAATTATGTGACTCTGCTGTTTCAAGCTGTAGAATTCTGCCATAACTAGGAGGAAATATTTTGCTGTAGGTAGATTAATGTTGAAAGCTTGTCAAGAAAAGGTTCAGCATTGAAAATTTATTCTTTCTCTTTTTGCCAGTGCTAGAGCTTCTACAATAAATACCATTTGCGATCTGGGGAAAAATAGAGATATAATTTCTTTTATATTTGTCTGTGTTATTAGAGTTTCAATGATATAGTCTATTTCTTATTAAAAACTCCATCCTAATGAATAATCTTACAGAGGGTAATTTTTACTCCTCTCTACCAGAAAGCTTTTCTCATAAAATACAGTAACTGTCAATGCTTATCAAATAATTTAATTCATGCCCATTGCAGGATAATTAATGAATATAACTCAACATTCTTTATTAATAAATAACAAAAATGAGAATAAGAGATTTGTTAAATACCCTTTTTGAAGATAGTGGGTAGGACTTTGTGGCATTCACATACTCTGAAAAAAATCCCTTGGCCCAGGATTTTTCTCCTGGGAAGCTGAAAGGCCTCAGAGAAATAGGAAAACAGTTTTTATCTCATTTGCTTCTCCTGTGTTGTGCTCATGTGTGGAATGTGGAGATTTTTTTTTACCCACAGATGATTGTTTCATTGGATTCTGGTGTGAGTTGTTTTGACTCATTGGCCAGTTATGGCCAAGCTGTGTTGGGACTCTGGAAAGAGTAACGAGCTTTCTTTATTATCTTTTTAATATTGAGTAAGTATACTTTCTGTATTCTTTAGTACAGTATAGTATTCTTTAATATAATATAGTATAATAAAGTAATAAATTAACCTTCTGAGAACATGGAGTCAGGTGCACCATTCCTGCCTTTGTTGGGGCAATAGGATATAGATTTTGTGAGGAAGCTTTGAGCAGACAGAGAATGCAGCCTGAGCAACAGAGCTGAGTGTGTGTGCAACACAAATGTGGTCTTGTTTTTTGTTTGAGTGTTTAAGTATATTTCAGTACTAGGCCTTCTTAAATCCTACTTGTATCTCTAAAGTGTCCAGAGCCGGGGGTGTTTAGCCTGGAGAAAAGGAAGCTCAGGGGAGAAATTTTATCACTCTACAACTCAGTGAGAGGAAGGTGGAGCAAGGTGGGACTTGGCCTCTTCTCCCAGGCAGCCAGTGACAGGACAAGGCGAAATGGCCTCCAGCTGCACCAGGGAAGGTTCAGGCTGGCCATCAGGAAAATTCCGATGTGAAAAGGGTTGTCAAGTTTTGGAACTGCCCAAGGGAGGTGGTGCAGCCACCATGACTGATCAGCACTGAGTGCCATGTCTGCTTGACAAGGTGGTCAGGCACAGGCTGGACTCAGTGATCTTGGGGGCCTTTTACATCCTAAATGATCCTATGGTCGAACTACTTGCTTGTCAATGTGATAAATTATTCAGGGCTATGTTAAATGGGGAGAAACACATTGCTGTTAATTTGAAAGTTCAGATTATGTCCCTGTGCACAGAGAACACTCTATGTTTTGCTGTGTTTTGTTGCTCACAGTGACCCCACTGGCTGTGCCCTGTCGCCATCTTTTGTTGTGCCAGTGGGTTTCCTATAATTTAAATCAATATGTGTGTATATGATCTGTCTGCCTGAACTGTGTAAGAACACTTCAAACGCTCTAAAAGCATAAACTTAAGTCAGTTCTCATTATTCTGTTTCCCTTTGAAGTATGCAAGGGGTGTGTGGACCTGGCTTTAATATAAGTGCTGTACAAGCTCATCAGGAGCAGCTTGGCCAGGGTCATCTTAATAGTACTGTTTTTGATCCTGTGTTGGCTTTGTGACAATTTCAGGGAAAAGTGGCAAAAAAAAAAATTTGTTTAGACCTTAGTGCACATTGCGGTTTGAGTCTTGTAGTAGAGCTCAAATGAGGCATAGTAGCAATTAACATTTGCTTATCAGAGCTAATTTTTGGATTTTTATTTAACTTTAGATGTCTGTCAGAGAAGACTTTGTTGGACTAAAATTGATTTCACAGAAACATTAAGGGAGGAGGAACTGCAAGACTTTTGGCAGCACAACAAACTCATATGCTGAACTCATTTGTAGTTGCTAAACTGAAACTTCCCGTGACACAAAGGTCACCAAGTTTAAGTTATTTTTGAAAATAAATTGAGTAGTTTAGTCACTGCCAAGAAAAGACAAATAGAAAACCATCTTTAGTTGCAAAAGTGCTTTCTACAGTATTTCTAACTTGTACCTATTGTTTCTCCATAGGTGGATGGGATACTGTGCCTGGCTGACATCCTCACTGACACCAGCCATTCTGAAGCCACCCATGCAGAAGCAGCAGCAGTAATTGCCCAGATCACATCTCCACATCTCACGTTCACTCAGCATCTCAGCAGCTTTCTGGAAAATATGGAAGAAATCGTGACAGCACTTGTCAGTAAGTTTTCTACAGGACTTCTGGGTCCAGTTAAAATAACAGGTTAGGGTATGAGCCTTTCATCAGAAATATTCCCTAAGTAATGTTTACCATCCTTCTCTCAACAGATAAAATAACAATTTTAAATTCTAAACCAGAGAATTACATAATATTTTTTGACTCCAGGCCTCGTGTGAATAGAATTTATGCATATTTTTAGAAATAGTATCTGTGTGAAAGTCTATCTTAAGAGTCTCAAGAAAGACTCAGCAAAGCATCCTCTTGTCTGATTTTTGTCTATAAAAGAGGAATATTGAGAGCTGAAAAGCTTTATGCCTGTTGTATTTTCCAAACTTGCTAGGACTCAAACTCACCACTACATTTCCATTTGTATGATAATTCAGAGGAAAAGTAGAGTCTATGAGTATTGTTACAAGAGAATGAAAGATCTGTCTTTCTTGTCTAGGCTCCTGATCCATGGTAAAGTGAGACAAAGGCAACAGCAAGACTTTCCTTAACCTGGGTCAGTGAGGATACTTTACAAAACAAGATGACATTTCTTACTGCTTTCTAAAGAGAGGAATATCTCTTTCGAGAGGGAGTGTGCTCCCTCCCTCTCATACCAGAAGCTTTCATTCAAGCATTCTCTTCTCTCTAGTCTAGAAATTCAGCTTCCCAGAGTTCCAAGTCAGGATGTACTGTTTGGGTTTTCTAGTTTGATTTCTCATGTATAGTAGATCATTACATTTAGAATTTTTTCTAGTGAACCCAGTAGTTACAGTTAAACTGGAGAACTTCAATTTGAATGCAGATTTTTTTGATTTTTGTTTGTTTGCTTGTTTGCTTTTTAAAGAAGAAGAAAAGAGTAGTATGAGTGTTTGAGGATTCTGCTGTGACTGGGAATTATCAGAGACGTATTTAGGCATTCTTCAATAGGTTCAAATAGAACTAGTGATGCAGAAATCAAGGGAACAATTTATTCCTGATGTCCAGCAACAAATGGAGAAGCTTGTGCCCCACCACTGCCCGGAATCCGGTGGGTGGAATTAACCTGTGCTGAGCTTGGTTCTGTTGTAGCTAGCAGCATCTGACCTGGCTTGTTTCAGATGATTTTCTGGGTCATTTTAGTGTACTGCAGTCAAAGGCCAATCTGAACATCTTATCCAGAATGTATTATCTGGTGGATCATTCCTCAGTTGTTGCTTTTTAAGTTCCACAGGAATTTTAGCTGTGCATATTCTTTCCAAGAAATGTAAGTGTTAAAAATAGAAAATGTATTAACTTTGCAAGAGCCGTTTCGGTAATCACATACCACTTTCCTTGTAACATTTATAACTCAGTAATTGAATTACTGTAATATGTTTAATTTTTAAACTATGCAGAAATTCCATTACCAGGTGATACACATCTTAGTTAAAGCACATATGTACAAGGGATTAAAAGGTAGCTGTCTCTTCAGCACTTCTTATTCAAGTTGAAAAATATGCAGGATGATTTTTGGCTACAGAGGATTAGATTTAGAGATAAGCAACATGTATATGTACGTTGTTCTAAAGAAGAGGATGGAATTATTCTTATATGGATCATTTACTTTTAGCTTTCTGCCTCCTGTATTTGATTTTATTTAGTTATATCAAGCTTTATTTTGAACAACATGCAGTGAAATATTCCCTGTAGAATGGTATACTAGGTAGAGCATATTGTTAATCAGAGGTTGTAGTGAGGTGGGTGTTGGTCTCTTCCAAGTAACAGGTGATAGAACAAGAGTAAATGGCCTCAAGTTGTGTCAGGGGAGTTTTAGATTGGATATTAGGAAAAAATTACTTCATGGAAAGGGCTGTGAAGTGCTGGAACACTCTGCCCAGGGAAGTGGTTGAGTCGCCATCCCTGGAGGTATTTAAAAGCTGTGTGGATGTGGCACTTGGGCCCATGGTTTAGTGGTGGACTTGGCAGACATGGGTTTGGTTGGAGCTGATGATCTTAGAAGTCTTTTCCACCCTAAACCCCTCTATGATGTTACATAACTGACTAAATTAACTCTATATTTTTTTGTTTCCTTTTTTATCTCCATGTTTATGAACTTGATGTCAGTTAATAAGATCACTACTGCAAGCCGCAGATGCTTAAATATTGCCTTTAAATGCTGCACTGAAGGAATTACTTTTATTCAGCTTATTTTCTGCATTCCTAGAACTGTGCCAAGAAGCCTCCTCAGGTGAAGTTTTCCTGCTGGCTTCTGCAGCTCTTGCCAATATCACTTTCTTTGATACCATGGCTTGTGAAATATTGCTCCAGTTAAATGCAATGAAGATTCTCCTAGCAGCGTGCTCAGACAAACACATAGTGGATACTCCCTATTCCCGGGATCAGGTGAGGAATTTCTCTGTCACATTTGTGTAAAAACCAAAAGATTTCAGCACTGTGTCTGTTTTGGCATAGCCAATCCTTTCTTAGTTCTTTTCATTATATTACCTCTTTCTTTACCTGCTTTAGTTCCTTCTTTGGTTTTGGTTGTTTTTTTTTATTTTTTAATTTTTTAAAATAAGCATTATAAAATAAGACAGATTTAATGTGATTAAAAAAAAATTGCAGTTCCATGTATCTAATATAGTAGAATTTATTTTATTTCATCATGAATTAGGCCAAATAGTGTCACAGAGACCCAGACAGTTTATGGGGTCTCTGTCTTTGGAGGGATTCAAAACTTGACTGGATAGAGCTTTGAGGTGAAGATATATATGGAGCCTAAATGTACAGTTGTCAGTTCAAAGAGGAATTAGCTCCAAAAGCTGAATAAGGACCTGATCCCCAGCCCATTGACGTCGGTGGGCTTTGGACCAAGTCCTGTCTGCCTGGTAGATGGTTTGCAAATTTTTATTGGCAAATACTGCTAATGTACTTTTGCCTTTCCCTTTCCTTCTCACCAGTATTTTAATTTTTTTTTTTTTTTTTTTTTTTTTTTTTTTAAGTAAAGAGACACAGAATACTAAAGGTCTATGCTAATGCACAGATGAAATCAGGGGGAATGCTTTTGCTCCTCTCAGGCACTCCTATGCAATGGGGTGGTGGAGAAGCACTATTTATTTGGTATCTCTGATTAATTTTGCCTCAGCAGTGATGTGTATGAGGCCTGAGGGTTCAGTAGTGACTGCTGAGGGATGGAGGTTGGTACTCAGCTCCCTTAACCGACTTCTGTTCATGAGACCTTGTGACTGTAATTAAAAGTCCACCATTCGGGCCTCACAACCTTCCCTTTCACAGCTCCGAAGGTGTCAAAAGATGACTTATGGTAGATTTAGATTACAGAAGGTGACTTATGGTAGATTTAGGATCTGTACTGCCAGAGAAGGCTTTGCTCATCCTTAACCAGCAGCCAGGCCTTGGAAATTAAGGCACAGTGGACCCTAGAAACTGATTATCGGTGTTCTAGAGGGATTACTGGAGCTGCTTTAGCTTCTATTAATAGCACTTAGTAGTTTTTCAGCTCAGTTCTGTGTATAAAAATATTTAATTAAGCCATAATTACTGTAGTGCTCTTTGGGCAAAGCCAGAGATATAAGCTGTGGTGTTGTCATGGCCGTATACTATTAGATATGTACAATCCTCCACAGTCTTTTAAAAAAATTCTTCCTGTATGCTCTCACATATTTGATTTCCTTATTTCTTTATGTCCTTATCTGAATTCTGCTGTCAGCTGTGAGTTTGCAGTTTGCTCTGTGGGTAGCACAGCAATCCCCTTCTTTTTTTGAGGAAGGTAGATCTTGAAAGAAATACGTATGACTTTTTCAGGTGACAAGCTAGTTTCAGGCCTTTTGCAGCTCGTAAGCTCATCTCACTAGCTAGATGAACAGCAAAACTGAATGGCTTCCTTCCAAGAACTTAGGAGATTTGGTCCCCCAAAACACCTCACCTTCCTTCTCAGAATGAGAAACTAGAGCAGAAAGGGTGGCGTTCTCTGTGGTGTGCTGCAGGAAGCTTCTGAGCTCACTCCTTGGCTCCTGTAGCAATGGGAACTGGTGGAATCTGAGTGCTGCTCATCTTGTCTTTAAAAGGTGCCAGTCAATCAGTTTTGGCAATGCCAAAGACCTTAGAGAAACCTTCCTTCAAATTCCTGAACAAATGTGAGTTTGACTGAGCAGCTCCCCTTGTTCAGTCTTGTATTTGGGGGTGGGGATGGTGTCTGCCCATTCCAGCAGTCTCATGGAATATTTTGCTTTTTAATTTGCTCTATGCCTATCGTTGCAATGAGGAAAATATATTCAGCTGAAAAGAAAAACAGCACTACAATACTATATTTTATAATGGTATCATAAATTGCGATTTTGGCTTTTGACAGGAAATCCTTTTCGGTAAGTAATGTAGTCAGAATCTTTTCCCAGAATATATAATATTATGTCCCAGGCAGTAGACATTTGCCTAGGTAGATGTACATAAAAGATGAGTAGGCTTGAAAATTTTTTGATTCAAGATTTTATTTTGGATTATGGAACCACTGTGAAATATATTTTCTTGCTGATGATGTCCTGACTGATGTCCATTCTGAATGACCAAGTCATCCTGGCCAGTAAAAAAGATGATTTGGAAATGAATTATACAAAATGTTGAAATGATTAAACCAAGTAAGAAGTTTCACAGCTAATACAAAATGTGGTCTGAATATTAGAAAATTGTATAAAAGACCACTCAAGCTTAAAAGCTCTCTTTTCCATACAAACATTTAAGTAGCACAACTACTTCTAGAAAACTACCTAATATTTCAAAGTATATTACTACTTTAGTATTAATGGTGATTTAAGAAAATTCTATTCTGCTAGACTGAGGTGTGCTTTACTGTAAGCAAATCTGGGAGGAAGACAGCTGAAATGCTAGGAAAGAACATTGAACTTTTTTTCTTTGTGCCATTTTATTTCATCTTAAACTCACACTATGTCCTTCTATACAGGACATAGAATTATTATTAGTTATCACCCTCCGTGATGGTACAAATAAATAACATTCTGCCCAGGATTTGGATATTGGATAGATTGTGTACTGGGTGCAAAAAATATTTTACTTTTCAAGCACCTTTAAAATTGTTCTGCCTTTTGACTTCTGGAAAGCTTTTTTGTCCAGATGAAAAAAAAACCTTTAAGGAAACCTTGAAATAAACCTAAACTAAAAAAAAAAAACCAAAACCTTTCCTGTCTTTTTTATCCAAAAACCAACCTCCTTCTTTCATTTCCCAGGCAGTGTTACATTAGGTCAGAAAAGAAATCTAGAACAGAGAGCTGGGTTTACTGATAAACAAGATTATGATTGCCTATTTTACAGAAGCATGTGACTGTTTCTGTAGCCAACAATGTTATACTGCGATTCCTTAGTTTTGTAGCAAAATACATTGTAAAGAAACAGTCATAAAGCACTATTTTCCAGATTCCTTAGTCCCCAGTTTTGGGTCAAAATGGATATGAATATCCCATGTTCTGTTTTTTTCTGCAGATAGTTGTTTTCTGAAAAACTTCAAAAAAGCATCAAATATCCTTTCAGAAAGTTTCATGCCTAAATTCAGCAGTGTAGTGTATGCAGTCTCAATGGAGTTTAACATCTGTCAGAAGAGGGGTTTAAAACCCCTTCTCATCCAAGATCTTCTTGACTTTAACCATCATCTTAGACTCTACATAGAAAACGATGAAATATGCATGCTTGGGCCCAGTATGTTTATGCATAACACAATTTTTCTCTCTGCATTCCCACTTGTCTCTTCAGTGTTGTTAGTATTCTCACCTTACCTGTGAAGCTGTGGAGGTATAGCCTAACACCTTCTGAGCTTCTCTTATTCAGGCAGACAAAGAATTAATGTGCAGTGAACACATCCATTTTAAAGTGGTTATTCCTAGGTCTAAAATCAGTGAATTATGTTTCAAAACAGTTTGAGGTGGAGAAATGCTCTTCAGCTGGAAGGAAAAATTTTAAATGATTGCTGGTTTTTTTTTTCCTAATAAATTCTTTCCTGTCGTCTTGGTATTTGGGAGATGCTGCTGGTTTAGACACTGAGATCTTCTGTGTCATTTAAGATTTTAACTCCTTAATACTGTTCTTCCTCTAGGTTCCACATTCTTTTCTCTGCTCTTCACCTTTTTTTCCTCATCAGGCATTTTTGTTTATTTTTACTGTCCTTCCTCACTTTTTTCTTCCCTTAAATGAAGATTATCAAAAGGAGATTAGAGACAGATGTTACTATAATATAAAGAAGTTTTGATTTCTAAATGTTGCTGAACCCCCAGGGAAAGCCTTTGAGAATAATGTTTTTAATGGGAAGAGTATTAACAGTTCTTTTAGATTTCCTTTGAAAATCCCTGTCTATATGAAAGAAACTTGCAGTACTTCTCAATCTGCTAAGTTTCTTGAATACTGGGGAGTTTATTAACAAAGCCTTTGCATGTGGACTAGCTCATAAAAGGGTGTCTGCGCTGTTTTCTTGCACAGGTCTCTGTTAATATCCCGCTCTGACATTAATACCATGATCACTGGATATGTGGTTGGAATTCCCTTCTCTCTGAGAGGCCTGACTGTGCACTGTGGGTGGCAAACTGTACATTAAAATGGATCCTTTCCAGTATTGACTAGATCACACTGGGAAACCATGATTTCAACTATTATAGCTAGAAAGAGAACCGGTAAATTTAAAAAATTAAGTTATTTTTAAAAGCTTAAGAAATCAAGAAAGAAACATGACTGCTGGTAACAGATGCAAAAATGAAAATTTGGCCAAAGTCACCTGACTATCTGAATTTTAACCACACCATTATATTAATGATATTCCAGTTAGTTTCCCATGTAAGATTGTAATAATTTTCCTGATGTGTTTTGTTTTTCTGTTTAGCTGCTTAGCTCTCTCTTTTCATGCACATCTGACCAGCATAAATAAATAACAGTACTGACTGGCATTATGTGCTCAGTGTTATGGATTGTTATATTTCAGGACTCCAAAACTGACTGTCTCTCTTAAACACTAAGATTTTTGAGACAAAATTCCTGCTTAGTTCCAATTCTGCCTCTCATATTTTAGATTCTATGCAGGACAAGACAATGTGTTCCCACTTGCAAAGCAAGGGGTTCAGCTGGAAGAAGAAAATATCAGCTCAGATGAAAAAGTAATTAGTGTTGAAAGGCTCATTTGTGCTCTGCTCTGGGAAGATCAGATCTCTTAGGTGCCTTTGGCTGCTTGAGCCTGTTTGAAAAGCATGAGCAGCTTTTCAGTGCCTTGGAGGAAGTCTGAGAGATGATTATTCTTTCCCCCCCCCCAGGTTTTAACCTGTAAGGCAGAAAACTGTGGCCACCAGCTTGATCACTCTGTTAGTTCTATGCCCTGGTTTATGGGATGTGTATTT